TCACCTGATCTGCCTGTTGTCTGTCTTCTACAATGCAAGAAAATGGAAAACCAGCAGGACTGTACTACTGTACAAGAAGGAAGACATCCATGACATTGGCAACTAATGCCCAATCTGCCTGTTGTCTGTCGACTACAAGCTGTTCACTCAAGTCATCCTGAATAGGATTGGCAGAACACTAGAAGAAGGACAGCCATACGGGCAAGCCGGTTTCCAAAAATAATTCAGCACAATAACCAAGCCCAATGAGGTTTCTCGGGAGTTCAAGATGCCACTCTGTCTAATGTTCATTGATTTAAATAAGGCCTTTGATTCTGTTGAGACAGAAGCGGTCATCAAGACCCTAGCCAAACAGGGCGTTCAAACTCAATACATTAGAATTCTTCATGAGCTGTATTGTGGATTCACTTCCAGGATCTCACCATTCTATAGAGAGGTGATCATTGACATCAAGAGAAGGGTTCAGCATAATGATACCATTTCACCAAAACTCTTCAGTGCTACCCTCGAGAACATCATGCAATGACTGGAATGGGAAGGAATGAGAGTAAAGATAGATGATCGGCAACTTCACCACCTCCACTTCACTGATGTCATTGTTCTAATAACACCAAACATCAGCAAAGTGGCACAAATGCTGACTAACTTCGACTGTGTGGAAAGGTAGGACTCCAACTGAATCTCACGAAGACAATGTTTATGAGAAATGGTCTCATTCCTGACGTTCCATTTGTTCTCAAAGGGATGAACATCTCCAAATGCAACAGTCATGTGTACCTAGGTCCAGAAGTCAGCATGATGAATGACCTGGCACCTGAGTTGCGCAGGAGGAAGAGAGTGGCTAGGAATGCCTTCAAGAGGGTCGAAAACATAGCTAAGAGGATGAAGAACCTCCCTCTCTGGGCACATCTCTTCAATTCCACTGTTCTTCGTGCATTAACATATGCCTCAGAGACTTGGGCCCAACAAAAAACAGGATGAGAAAGCTATTCGGGTCTCCCAAAGAGGAATCAAAAGAGCTATGCTTGGAGTATTATGCTTCACTCAAATGAGAGAAAGAATCCGGAGTTCTGACCTCCATCGACGATCAAGAATCAGGGACGCTGTCTCGTTTGCCAAGGCATCGAAAATCAGATGGGCTGGACACATAATGAGATTTGGAGACGACCCCTGGACTGGAGCCATCATTGACTGGATTCCACGGGACGTCAAAAGATCCCATGGCCGCCCAACTATGAAATGGTCAGACTTCTTCTTCAAGACCCTGAATGATCGGTTTGAGGCTGTTCGTGTTCCTAGAATGAGCAGACACCGTTGGGCTACACTAGCACGCGACAGGGACAAATTGAGACGTTACTAGTGCCCGCTTGAGCAAATTGATGAGTAACGGGATGTCAAGTGATCAAGTGATCTACTTTGGGGTCCAGGAAATTATATTACTATTTTGCCTATGATTAAATTAAATGCATAAATCGGCATTTCTCAACTGGGGGCTACAAGGGTCAATGGCTTCCTGAGGGTCCCCAGGGCATTCCAAGGTGGTTGCAGGTAAAAAAAGTGATGTAAATTAAGGGCCACAGCACAAGACTGAGGGCCAACCGGAGGACTGGGTGGGGTGCAGGAAGGAAACAAGATAGTAAGGGGTCACATTTACAGAAATATTATATAAACTATATGTTATGGCTGGAGTAATAGTACATCGGGTAGGGTAATTGCCTTGCATGTGACTGACCTGGTTTAATCCTCAGCATCCCATATGGTCCCTTGAGCACCACCAGGAGTGATTCCTGAGTGCAGAGCCAGGAGAAACTTCTGAGCATCACTGGGTGTGACCCCAAAATCAACAAAATAACCCCTTCCAAGAAAACACCCCATACTTTAGTCAGTTTCTTATTAACAAATATTTTTACTTCTTTAAAAAAAAAGGGACCAGGGGCTAGAGCAGATAGGGTGCTTGCCTTGCATGCAGCCAACCTGGGCTCAATCTCCAGCACCTCATATGGTCCCCGTTCACCATCAGGAGTGATCCCTGAGCACAGAGCCAGGAGTAAGCCTGAAAACTACCAGATGTGCTCCCTCTACCCTCCCAATCCTACCTTGTTGGAAAAAAGTTAATCTACAGGTTAAGCTCTTAGAAACACATTTAAAAAGTCTATAACTTCAGTAGCTAGAGAGATAGTACAATAGGTCAGTCTCTTTCCTTGCATGTGGCTAATCCAGGTTCATTCTCTGGCACCACGTATGATCCTCTGAGCCCACCAGGAGTGATCCCTGAGCTCAGAGCCAGGAGTCCTGAGAACCAGTGGGTGTGGTCCCAAAACAAACAAAACACTCAACTCGGTCCATACCCTTGTCTGAAGCATAAAAAGTAAATAAAATAGCAATAACTTGCTACACTTTGAGCAATGGAAATGAATTTCTTGTTTAAATCTTTAAGGCACATATGATATGTGAGCACATGTGTCACTGCTGAGCATATGTTGTCTGCATCTCCCCTTTTGAGGTGTGCACTTTTTTACCTTCATAGTTTCATGCTGGGATGTATACTCAGGCTCTCTCTCCGCTCTGGAGAAGCCGCCCACATTTTCTCTTGAGTGTGTTGCTCTCTCTCTCTCTCTCTCTCTCTCTCTCTCTCTCTCTCTCTCTCTGTGTGTGTCTCTCTCCCTCTCCCTCTCTCTCCTCCCACCCTTTCCTCAGAACTACCAAATTAAATGTGTTTAATATAAAAAATCTTTAGGAAAATTTCATAATCCAATGATTGATTATCCTCCCTTTGACAGGTGAAGAAACTGAAGTGAAACAGATGATGAAAAGTTCAGTCATTTTAACATATTGCTTATAAGGGGTAGCCAGGATTGAACATCAGTGTTTCTAAACCCTGCTGTTAAATTCCAGGCTCGGTATTAGTTTTGGGCACATCCCAGAAATAAATAAACATTGTCAAACAGTTAGGTCGTTTTCCATTCTCGTCTCTTTTTTCCATGCTCCTGTGCTTAAGATATCACTGGAGAAAACTTCCTTAGCCTCCATCTAAGTTGGAGTCTCTATAAGAAAACAAGGGGGATGGAAGCAGAGAAGACTCTTGCAGCAGCATTTCCAAACAATGTTTTAGATGAACTTTTCTATACCCCAAGTACTGCTGTGGTGTTCTTGGTGATCCCTTGAACTGCAGGGTCCTCGCAGCACCATGTCTTTTGGGACCTGGCTTTGATCTATCTGCCTGAATGTGAAGTACTTCTGAAAGTGATCCCATGGCTCTCTGAGAAACCTTTGGGAGGCCATATAACTCTATGTTCTTATAGAATTACTTTTATATTCCCATCAGTTTTGTAAAGGTGAGACATTTCTTCATGTATTTTCTATGCTTAATAGCCAGTAGGTGCCTGAATGCTGAACATTCTGATTAGCCTTTAATATTTGGTGCCTTATTATTCTGTAAGTGTTTTGTTAATTAATTCCAGGGATGTCATGTTGAGAAATGTTCTCTTAAATGACTGTTGAGATGTTTGAAGTTATAGCTGTGTGAATGATACATTTCATTCTGGTCTTAATTTTGAGATTTCCAAGGAAAGCGGCCCCTGGTTTGGCTTCTAAGCTCAGGTACAGACCTGATATTAATCCTTTTATACACATTCCTGTTGCTTTGAGCTCTTCAAAGCACAATTTTATTAATTTTTTTTACCCCAAAATCACATTATTTTGTTAGGCAAGATGGTGTTGGCTCTTCTGGAGTGCAGAATCTTCTCCTTTGCAGCAGTAAATGGATAAATTCAATTTATGGACTCTTCCTGTAATAGAGTCAATCCTGAATTGAAGGTTCTAGAATGCAGATCTAGAAGCAAGAGGGAAAGTTATCACTTTATACCTGTTTTTTTTTTTTTTTTACAAATTATTTTAAAAACCAGAGGCTGGAGAGAACAGATTTGATTCCTGGCTCCCTCAAGCAAAACAAAACCACAAAAGCAGATGAAAGAACAAAGAGCACCCAAAAAACAGCAGCAACAACAAAAAGCCCCAGATGGATTCTCATCTGCTTGTAGCTTAAGGCCTACCTGATGAGCTAAATTAACACTAAAGACCATATCTGCTTTCCAGTATCCTCTAACACCTTCAGCTATCAGGCAAGGCCATTTTCTCTGCATAGAAAACTCAGGTCTATGGCCTGAAGCTCAGCAGGTGCGATTCAGCTGAAAAGTCACCCCTAGGAGCTTCACCTCTAGGATGAAGTTTCCACCTCTGCCCAGACGGGTTACTCTCACCCCATTATTCCTATTTTATCTTGTTCAGTTCTTTTGCCACTCTGAAAATTTCCAATTGTTTCAATTATTTTTAAATCTTCTATATCAAACTATTTTCTATATCAATAATTGACAACAAACAAAACAAAACAAAACAAAAAACCAACCCCAGGGGCTGGAGCAATAGCACAGCGGGTAGGGTGTTTGCCTTGAAGTCGGCCAACCTGATTTTGATTCCCAGCATCCCATATGGTCCCCCAAGCACTGCCAGGAGTAATTCCTGAGTGCATGAGCCAGGAGTAACCCCTGTGCATCGCTGGGTGTGACCAAAAAAGCAAAAAAAAAAAAAAAACCTCAAAAAACCAACCCCACTTTTAATTATTCCTGTCTATCCCCATTAGAACGTAAACACTGGAGAGAGAACCCCAGGACTGCTCTGTTAGCCACAGTATGCCCAGGGTCTAGAACAAACAGTTGTCGAATGAATGAAAAAAAAAACACAAAACACGCGAGGAACCCAGTTCCTTTAAAAAGCCGGCCCATCTGGTGACTTCTGCGACAAGGGAGGCCAGGGCAGGCAAGTGGAGTACTGGCCGTTGCTCGGGGCAACCACTGTTTCCCAGCAGACGCGTGCCCACGCCACCTGGCCCCGCCCCTCCAGGCCCCGCCCCCGAGGCGCCCCGCCCCCTCGGCCGAGTCTCGGCCCAGTGGTAAAAGCAGCGCTCGCCCTTTAAAGGGCGGGACTTCTGGTCCACGTCGTGCACGGCCGCCGGAAGAGGAAGTTTCGCTGCCGAACGCTGCCTCGCTCGTCCGAATTCGGTGGCGCCACGTCCGCCGGTCTCCGCCTTCTGCACCCCCAGCTCCGGCGGATTTCGCCTCGACACCGTCCAGTGGCGGAGCCGGCCGCGTGGTGAGGGGCCGGGACGGGGCGTCGGGCGGCTGTGCGCATCCTGGCCACCTAAACCGGGCGAAGATGTCGGACATTGGGGACTGGTTCAGGAGCATTCCGTCCATCACGCGTTACTGGTTCGCCGCCACTGTCGCGGTGCCCTTGGTCGGAAAACTCGGTCTCATTAGCCCGGCCTACTTCTTCCTTTGGCCCGAAGCCTTCATCTATCGCTTTCAGGTACTGACCGGCGGCAGAGGGAGTGGAGACTGCAGGTCCCAGGAGGCCCCGCGGCGGTCGGGCGCACAGCGGCATGTCACGGGCGCGCGGTGCCTGCTGGGATTTGTAGTGCCCATGGCTCCAGCGCTTTAGGGCGGGGTCCTGTGGCCCGGGTCCTGAGGCTAAGGGTCTGGATCTGGAACCAGGGCTTGCAGAATCCGAGGCGAGGAGACGTGCGTTTGGCCCGCTGGAAAGGGGCAGATTTCGCCTTTCTGTAGAGGTAGCGCTCCCTGCATTCAGAGGAAGTAGAGGGGAGCTAAGCCTCTGAGAGTTGTCAATCTAGTGGATGCTGCTGATTAGCTTGAATGTGGTAGATGCCCTCTGACCTCCCTGTGACACCACGTGGGTGACATGTGGATTTCAGTTTTCCCAACATCCAGTTGAGTGGGTCCCCCCCCCCCCCACACCCCATGCTAATGAACTCCCCTGCATAGGAGTTACTTGAAGTCAGAGGCGCAGAGTGCGTTTATCTTTCTGCATCATGTAGTTGAATCTATGAAGGAACGAACCAAGAATAAATTGCTCCAAGAATGGAAGAAAACCGAGTTTAATAAAATGAAATGTTAAAAAAAAGGAAAAAAGACAGAAAGAAAAGAAAAAGAAAAGGAAAGAAAAAAGTTCAGAAAGTAGTGCAGGCAGTAGGTCCTTTCACGTGTCTGACCCAGGCTCAGTACCCAGCACTTCACAAAGCCCCCAAGAGTAATCCCTGAGCACAGCCAGGTGTGTGGCCCCAAAATAAAAGCAGACAAACAAAGAAACAAATAAGGCCTTGATATTTTAAGTATGAATGAAACAATCCAGACTAATATGCCTGGAAAGAGAAAATTAGTTTTCTAGAAGTTATTTTATGCACTGAATTCTGTGATTTCGATCTTTCAGTCAGTGGCAGGTCAGTATAAAAAAACAGACTTTTGAATTTTGTGTTGTGTCCAGAAAGCATTCTAGAACCTCTTCTTTACACTTTCTTGGCTGGAGGTGAACTCATTTAGCTTCATGACTTTTAAATACTTTTTGTAAGCCCAAGACTCCAAAAGAAAAATAGTTTCAGTCTCGATCTAACTCCTGATTTCCAGACCTGGATAGCTAACTGGTACTTGAAATTAGCACTTGGCCAAACAACATTATCTCAAACTTAACCTGTCCCTTTTAGTCTTTACCTGAGAAGTAATAATGACACTTACGTTGTTGTTTGCTTTGAGATCATACCGGTGATGCTCAGGGCTTTCTCCTAGCGCTGCACTCAGGAGTCACTCCTGGCAGTGCTTGGGGGACCATAAGGGATGCTAGGGATCACACTCAGGTTGGCCACATGCAAGGCAAGTGCATTACCCACTGTACTTTTTTCTCCAGTCCCAAGTAGTGACACTTTTATGGCCAGATGCTGAGTTAACAGTGTTGGAGTCATTTTTGACTTGTCTCTGTCTCATGCCTGACCGTCTGCAAATTCTACTTATTGTACCTTGGACATAGATCTAAAGTACAGTTCCTTTTCATTCTGCAAGCCATTCTAGCTTTGCTCATTCCGTTGCTTCTCTGGATAGCAAGGGGGCTTATTTTCAAACATAAATAAATCGCTATCATTCTGTCTGAAGGACTGCCCAGATACCTTCTCAACTAAATAAGTGAAATCCATGACCACTTAGTGAATTGCAGGATCCCCTTGTACTGTCCAATCTCATCTCCCTCCCCCCAATCTCCACCTTGTACAAAAGGTTCCACAACGGACTCCCTGCTGGTCTGTCCACAGCTTACTTTTTTCCTGCTCCAGACCTCTACATACAGTGTTTCTCCGCCCGAGGAGGGTCACGTGGTTTGCCTCCTTCCTTCATGTCTCTGTGCAGGTGCTACCTAATGGCAGGGCCTTGCCCTGTATAAAAATATGAACCCATCCATTTCTCTCCCTTTGATTTTTTTCTCTTGTGATTTATCCTACCGTCCCTTGGTATTGTTAGAAAAGAAGGCTCCCTGGGAGCCTGAGCTTTGTGTCATGTCCACTCTCTGCATCCCCTGGGATAGTGGCTGGCACACAGAAGGTGCTGGAGGACTGGCGGATGCATGGGACCAATTGGGGCCATAATGGTGAGTAAGGCAGTTGAAAGCTCAGCTCCCTTGAAGAAAAGGGGAGAGAGGCAGGTGTTGGGGAGTGACTCATGGGGTGTGTATTTGATGCAGTATCTTAGAAAAGCCTCAGAGAAGATTTTTGGACAGAATCTGGGACTCTGGGAATAACTTTCTAGGGAGAAGGCATAGTAAGGCTTAGAGACAGGAATTAGGAACAGATACTACGAGACAGTCAGCGGTGGGGATGAGGATCCTTAGGTCATTGCTAGATTGGTTTGAACTTTTGGCCTTTTGGAAAAGGACTGACAAGTTTACTTTGACTGTGGACGAGCTTGGTGTGTTGAATGGGGTGAGATAGGGCGGGGGGCTGGAGGGGGCGCCTAACCTGTTCCTATGAGCTAAAAGGCAAGAGGGATGGTGATATGGGCCAGTGTGTGCGGAGACAGGGCAGCGATCCACGTCCCAGCCGCAGTGGCCAGGATTGCGGCTGTTTGAGACAAGGGTGAATGGGTCTGGCTGCAGGACTGAGCAGTGTCTAGGCGAGTGGAGTGGATGCTGGAGCTCTTCACCAATCTGGGGAATGCTGAGGGCAGTGGGGCCTGAGGACACGGCAGCATCTGCACCGAGAGTGTTGCTCTGACCCTGTACCGTCTCCAGCTGCTTTGGAGGCGTCCAGATGGAAACGTGAAGCAGGCTGTTGATTAGAGTGTGCTTCTGGCATGCAGCCTGAACAGCACACTGGTGTTTTTTTTTTTTTTTTTTTATGCATTTGGTAAATGTATGTTGACAGACTAGATGTCAGTAGACTTGTCCTTGGGTAAAGGATGTTCACAGGAGCTGTGATTGTACGTCATTCTGTGAGAAAGGACTTGCTCCAAACTGGTCACTTCCTCTTTTCACAGAAGCCAGCTCATTTTTGCAATTAGATCCATCAAAGGCTTTCTAGTAGACTCGCAGTGGGGCTGTGACAAGCCAGGGATGGATTAGAAAGTGATTACCCTTGTGATCCACCTTCCTTTGTTCCTCCCATCTTCCTGGTTTGGTTTTGTGGGGGTATGACTTGGAGGCTGGGGTTCTCCCTGGGGTCCCCCGCCTGGCCCAGGTGGGGAAGGAAGGCCGTCTGTGCTTTCTGCCCTCACCTCAGTTTGCCGCCAAGGCGGAACCTGTGCTGCACAGTGGCCTGGCGCTCAGCCCATCTGTAACAGCTTAAGCAGCGTGGAGATGATTGATTTCGGGCTGTGCAGCCCTGTAGGAAGGGACAAATGACTTCTCCTCTTATCTCTGACGCTCCTTTGACTTGTTAGGCCCTCCAAAGTTTCAGACATTCCTTTCTTCATGGAAATGGCAGCAGTGTGAGTAGAGACTTGAGGAAATGCTCTTCACAGTGGGTGCTGGACAGTGGTGGTGGAATGCTTTAAGGTTGGTTCCTGATTGCCTAATGGAGAGCTGGAGTCCCCTTACTCCCCCTCCCCCCCACCCAGCTCTCTGTGGTTTGAGACCATGCATAATAAAAGAGATTGGGTAAGCATCACCCCACCCATCTGTATTTTTTTTTTAATTTTATAAAGGGCTGGAGCGATAGCACAGTGCTAGGGCGTTTGCCTTGCACGCAGCCAACATGGCCGACCCGAGTTCGATTCCTCCGCCCCTTTCGGAGAGCCCGGCAATCTACCGAGAGTATCTCACCCGCACGGCAGAGCCTGGCAAGCACCCTGTGACGTTTTCGATATGCCAAACACAGTAACAACAAAGTCTCCAATGGAGACGTTACTGGGCCCGCTTGAGCAAATCGATGAACAACGGGAGGACAGTGACAGTGATAAAGTTGTTCACAATGATTTATTACATTCAATATTCCAACACCAGTCCCATCGCTATTATGCCTTCCCACCACCATTATTTCCAATTTCCCCACCACCACCCAAGCCTGGCCCAAAGGCAGATCCTAAATAATTTATTTAGTATTGCTTGTTACAAATAACCTGCTGAAAATGATCTAAAAAGTTTTTCTTAGTGGAAAGTGTGTGAAGATCCACCCCCCTGTGTTGTGCTGCTCCAGTGGTCCTCTCAGTCAGCTACCACAGCTGGCCCCAGGTTAGCTGGTTTATAGGCCCCTGCAGTTGCAGTTTCTAGTTTCGATAGTTTTCTTGTTGAACTCTTTTGCATAATGTTGGTGGCCAAAGCACACCTTTATGTATCTGGCAAAATACTGTTGGTGGTGATTTCTGGTGCATTATTTCCCTTTTCTGTTAGAGTGTTCCAGGCAGTTGAGTCATGGTCTCTATGCTGGGCTTAGCTGAAGACTGGTAGGATACCCGTCACCGGCCTTTAATCCTTCGGAGTTGCAGGTCATCTATCCTTAGGAAACCCCCTTTTATTTTTATATTATTTTATTTTTGTTTTTGGGTCACACCCGGGAGTGCTCAGGACTTACTCCTGGCTCTTTGCTTAAGGATCACTCCTAGCGGTGCTTGGCGGACCATATGGGATGTTGGGAATTGAACCCTGGGTTGATTGCATGCAAAGCAGGTACTTGCCTGCTCTATCATCGCTCTGGTCCCAGAGTCGTTTTTTTTTTTTTTTTTTTTTTTTTAACAGGAGGACTGTGACCGTGGGTCATACCCAGCAATACACGGGTTACTCCTGGCTCTGCACTCAGGAGTTACTCCTGGCGGTGCTCAGGGGACCATATGGAATGCTGGGAATCGAACTCTGGTCAGCCACATGCCAGGCATATGCCCTACTCGCTGTACTATCTCTCCAGCCCCACAGAGTCCATTTTTAAAATCTAAAAATGGGGGCAATTTAACGTGATAGTAGATTTGGTTTTTGTTTTTGGGCCACACCTGGTGATGCTCTGGGCTAATTCCTGGCTCTGCATTCAGGGGTCACTCCTGGTG